AAAACGCATTCTAATATCTTATCATGCTTAAGAGTTAAATGAACACCAGAAGGAACTTCACAAAGAGCAGTTAATTGACGAAGAGTAAGAACATTTTCACTTTGTTTTTTCATATTCTTTTAATGGGAAGGACAATCTTGTTCTTTGATGATACAAGCCAAATTGAGATCTTTTATTTGCTTTTTCCGTAAATTGGGGTAAGTAGTGTGCTCAAAATCTAAATGCAAGGGTCAAAACAAATGATTTCTTTCGGGATATTTTTGAGAATTGTTAATTCGTTGCAAGATACCTATTACTCTTTCTTGCTCCGGACCTAACGATAGTTGACAAAGACGGCTGTCCGGCAAAAGTCGAACAAGACTTTTTCTCTTGTGATGATACTTAGCAATCTTAGTAATAACAAAATCTTTTTCTTTCTTTTGCTCTATAAAATGAAAATGTCGGTCTTTTTTTTGTAATTGTTTAAGAGTATAAGTTGAATACTCAGCAACTTTGGCTAGTAATTGAGCCAATATACCCCGAACCTTACTTTGCTCAATCCGATTAGAAAAAGTGGGATCAGCAATGCAATCCATAATTAACAATTCGAAAGAAAATAACATAATTTTATAAATTTCCAGCTAGTTTTTGAGCTCTAAATTGCAGATCACAAATAAAAAAAACCCAATTTAAAATCACTGCTTTCAAATTTTCTTTGGTAACGCTGGCAAATGTTTTCTAAGTGATAGATAACCAACTCGTCAGTAATGTCGGGAATATGGCGAAATGACGATGAACTTTTTAATTTTTCTAAGTAATCAAAAACACTTAGAAGTACCGGAGCAGCTTCTCAATCCTCAAATTCTTCTCGAAACAAAAAGATTTTTTTCCTTTTTTTGAATTTCTCTCTCCGTCAAATAAAGAACTGGATGAATAAAACCTTGTTCTAAAGCTTTTTCTCCCAATCTTTCATAAAAGAATTTCACTACCGATAGCGGATTAATATTTAAAATTCGTGGTTTTTTTTGAATTATTGTCATGGCTGAGTTTACATTATTATCAATTTTGTAAACTTTTTTCTGTAATTTTGTAAACTTTGGCCAAGTTTAAAGCCTATTTTCCAGCGAAAAGTTTACACAATGCGATATTTTGTAAACTAGTGAAACAAGATTTTTAACTTAGATTTGCCTAGTTTAGCAAGTTTTTTTATTCCTCTTTTTCTCGTTCGCATTTACGGCATAATCCGCTATCCACACTAACTTTTTTATACTCGCAGCAATGGCCGCAATCGCTCCTCACTTCCTCTCGCTCTTTTGGTTCTTGGTCTACTTGTAATTGTTGCTTTCAATATTCAGCACGCTGGTGTTTAATCTCGCTGCGAATTGTTTGCTTTTCTTGGCAATCATAGCACGAACAACCTTCTTTGCCTCGCTCCTCGTGAAATTTAGTTAATTCTATTTCCTTGCGAGTTGATAAATGGTATTTCGATAGACAATCTTCAAAATCTTCCGTTTCATCATCAACATACCTCTTAATTCTTACTTTTTCTCGTCACCAATACCTAATTAATCGCTCTTGTCGTTCCTCACTCAAATTTTTTCAATCATTCCTAATTCCACTCTTTTTTTTGGCCGTTTGGTAATAATCCCGCACTAAGTTTCCGGCTAACAGTTCTAACTTTTGAATTTCCACAATGCTCCCAATACCCCCAACTAAATCCCGGAGCATTCCCGTAAAATCTTGTCATAATTCCTGCTTGCTGCGGCTTAGTTCCGTATACTCTTTGAAACTCATCAAGACCATAATATTACTGTCTTTTATTAACTGATTGGCGGCAACGGCTACTTGCTTTCACTTTTGTTCTTCTTCCTGCTCCCGTTTTTTCCTCGGCTTTTTCTCTTTTCTGGTCGAGTAATCAGTCCCGGTTTTTGCGATAGTAGTGGCGATTAACTTCTTCCCGGGATTTAGTTTGTTGCTTCTTTACTCAAGTTTTCTTAGGCTTTTCGCCGATTAAATTTTGCCTTTGGGCTAATAATTTGCTGATGTCCTTACCGGCTTTTTTGGCTCGGGATATAGCTTTAGTTAGTCTGTCATGTTCCTTTCTCAAAATTGGATCTGATATTGGCATACTTTACACTTTATTTTTTTATGTCCTCCCGTCCTCCTCTTAAAGTCTTAACATTTAGTCTTATTTAATCCTTAAATAGGCTATATATTTACTAGTAATTTTTTTCTCCCTATAAATTATCACGAGAGGAAAAAGGCAGGAGAAAGTGTCAAGCGAAAGTCTGAGAAAAAAGCCCCTTTCCGAGTAGAGAATTTAAGGTTTTTTAGTTCTTTCTTTTCAGGAGGCTAGGGCTTGCGAGTATTCGGTATCGTTGGAAAATTCCTCTCTTTGGGGCTCAGGGTCTAAATTAATAAGTTCGGTCATGGCGGTAAGTTTTGCCTTTTTCTGCTCGATGTTATTCCTTGTTTTGTCTAGTATTTTTCGAGAGTTTGAATTTTTTGCTGAACTCCTTCGAGTTGCTTTTCTAATTTCGTCTTAGTTTCTTTCATATTAAGAAGTTTTTGCTAAAACCTTTGAACATGGGGAAAAATATAGGGGATTATCCCTATATATTCACTAAAATACTATATTATGAAACTCATTTATATTAAGTCAACCATGGAACCCAAGAATTATAGCACTATTCGTTCCCTGCTCAAAAAAGAAAGAGGAGAAAAAATTGCTCCTTGTGTTTTTAAGGTGGAGAATGGGCAAGCTGTCAAAACTTATTTGGAGAAAGAAGGCATTACTTACGAAACTTACCAACAAGAAACGAGCGAACCGGTCAAAAACCTCTCCGAACATTTAATTGCAGGCTACGAAATTTCCGGCAGGAGTAAAAACCTTGCCCGTGAGGATGAAGACCGAGAAGAAACTATTAGTGACGGATTAGATAATGAATAAGAAAGCACTATTCCCCCATAATTTTCCCCGGAAAGGAGAAATTTACTTGGTAAACTTCAATCGTAAAAGAAATTTTTAAAATTCGTCCAGTTCTAGTGATTAGTAGCAACTACCAGAAAGTCAATAAACTACTTCATTCGGCTTTCGCTATTCAAAAAAACAAGTTGTCCCCCTCATAAACTCATAAAAATTAATCAAATGACATGGTCAAGGAAGATAAGAGAGAGAGAGAGAGAGAGAATTATTACTATTTCAACACTAGCCAATCCGGAGAAGCCTTGGAATTATTAAGTTTGCTGGAAGATGGCTCCGTTAGTTTGGTATTCCTTGATCCTCAATACGAAAAAGCGGGTGATGTGCTTGGTCTTAAAGATTATCCTTTACATTATCAAAGCGAGAACCAAATAACTTATATTTTGCAAGAAATCGGCCGAATATTAAAGCCTTCGGGATTTTGCTTGTTATGAGCTAATAAAGGCGTGGTGAAAAGTGATCGGATTTCAGTGTGATTATTACGAGCTCCGGAATTGAAAATAGTAGATATGCTAGTTTGAAATAAACCGCGAGTGTTAGGAATGGGTTCTTATTTTCGGAGTCGGTGCGAATTCGCTTTCTTATTACAAAAACATCCGCAAAATAGCAAAAAATTTACCAACCGTTCTTTTCCCGGAGTCTGAGATGAAATGCCCTTGGCTAGTCAACGCCGGAATCATCCTCACCAAAAACCTTTCTTGCTAATTAAGTCCATAATTGAAGCCACTACGCAAGAGGGAGATTTAGTGGTCGACCCTTGTGCTGGTTCTTTTATCGTTCTTGAGGCTTGTCAGGAAACCGAGCGGGAGTTTTTGGGGTGTGATTTGACTTTTGAAAAGATGCAAGAATATAGAAAAACCAGAAAAAGCGTTAGTTAAAACTCCAACTTATTAGGAAACCGAGGAAAAGCAATGGTATCCCGAATGTTTTTGGTGCCACTGATAAACATTATTAATCTTTCTAAACCAAGACCAAATCCTCCACTAGGAGCATAGCCGTATTTTCGTAAATCAAAATATCAATCCATATTTTTCCCAGTTAAGCCAGTTTTTCGAGTTTTTTTTCTTAAAATTTGATAATCACTCTCACGAAGGCTTCCTCCAATTAGTTCGCCAATTTCCGGGAAGATTAAGTCAAAACCCGCCACCGTGTTTCCGTCTGAGTTGTTTTGCATATAAAAGGCTTTTAACTCGCTAGGATAATTAGTGATAAACACCGGGCCAGCAAAGTATTGACACAAATATTTTTCCTGTTCAGTTGGCAAATCCTCAAAATTTTCTTTCTTAGCCTTTAATATTTTGCCAGTTTGAGCAAAATCAATTCTTTTAAACGGCTTATTGACAACTTTTTTCAGTTTGTTAATTATCTCTTTTGGTTTTTCTTTGTTATACTCCTCTAAATACTTTAATTCCTTTCTATTAACATCTAGAACGTAGTTTATCACATATTTGATTAGTCTTTCGACAAAATCAATCACTTCGTTTAAATTTACTAAAACCATTTCGGCTTCGACCATTCAGAATTCAGCCAAATGACGAGTAGTGTGAGATTTTTCGGCCCGAAAACAAGGGCTAAAAGTATAAACTTTTCCTAATCCTTGGGCTAAGGCTTCGGCATGAAGTTGTCCACTAACGGTTAGTTTGGCCGATTTAGCAAAGAACTCGGTAGTAATATTAAAAGTTTCTCCGGCTCCTTCGGCATCATTACTCGTAATAATGGGAGTAGGAACTCAATAAAATCCTTCGTGGTGAAAAAAGTCATGAATGGCCTTACTAATGCTATGGCGAAGACGAAATAGTGTTAAAAAGTAGTTGGTTTTGGTTCTTAAATGAGGATAGTCTCGCACTACTTCCAAAGGGATATTCTTTTTTTGGAGAGGACAATCGCTAATAACTGGGTTAGAGAAGGAAATTTCACTGGCCTTTAATTCACAAAACTGTTTTCGTTGGGGAGTAAGAAATAATTTTCCACTTACTAGCAAGCAGCCGCCAAAATTTATTTGGCTCGATAAGTCGTTTTTTTGAGCAATAATTACCTGTAAACTATCGAGAGTAGTTCCATCATTGAGAGTAACGAAAATTTTCTCTTTTCCTTCTCGAACTGATTTTACTCAACCTCCTACCGTAATTTTTGGTAATTGGCTTAATTCCTCAGCATGATGATAAATCTCGGCTATGGCTATTATTTTCATTGAAGAATTTTAGCGAACCATTCCGTTTAATCCCCCTAACCCACCTAACAACTCGGTCATTTGAGTTAGAGGAGATTTCTTCGCTTGTTCTTTCATAGTTTCCTTAATGTTTTTTTTCACCACAAAAAAGAGGATTGTTACCACTGAACCAACTGCTAATAAACTAGCTAAAAAACAAAACAAAAAAATAACCAAATATTCAACAATGGATAGCATATATTAATTTATTTTCTCCATAAAATTTTGGCTCTTAATCATACATTCCTTCAGTTCTCTCTTTACTGGCTTTTAATTTTCTTTCTAGTTCCATAATTTTGGTGATAAATGTTTGGGGAGAAAGTGTTTGGGACCGATAGCGAGAAGGAAGGTTTTGAAAAGTTCGGGAGAGCAAATTAAGATCGTTAATTCTTGTCCTTCTCTCGGTGTCTCTTTGGTGGAGAAATAGTTCCACAAAGTTTTTTAGTCCTTGTTCGTTTTCGGGTTGGAAATTCCAGTGAGGAAAACGAGCCTTCATATTACCTCACTGTTCAACTTTCCACTGTTCTTTTTCTAATCTCTCAATCCTTTTGTTCATTATCCCAATTTGTTCAAGAAATCTTTCTGTATTTTCATCGCTTTGTGCTTTTTTCAATCGGCTAGTAAGATTAATAATTTGTTCTTCTTGCTTTTTTTGTTGTTCAGATTGTTTTTTCTCGTTCTAGTCTAACTTTTTCTTTTAGTTTCAACAGAGAAGAGTGTTCAAATTCCACATTTTCTTCTTCAGTTCATTTCTTTAATTCTGTTATAAGGTTGGTAAAACTTTCGAAATCTTTTTGAGCAGAAAAGTCTTTCATTGCTAACCTCGCTTGCCTAACAGAATCCTCTTTACCACCTAACGATTCTCCTGGAAAGATTGGTGTTCCTTGCTGTCAAAAATAGTTTCGCTTTGGCTACTATCGTTACTACTTGAACTTTTTTTTGGCAAATTAGTTTTTTTTCCTTGGTTTCAATCTCAGGCATACAACCCCGCCAGAGCACCAATAAACCCGACTGTTGCATATTTTCAATTTAACATATTATTATTTTACTTGCTGCTTTTATATTTTGTGTGTCTTCTCTCTCCGAGTGCTTTCCGGAGAAACTACCGAATCTAACAAAATATGTAATCCGGAAGAAATTCCATAACCAGCCAGAAAAGAAAGAATACACTTTAAGGTTTTGTCAAATTCACCCTCTCTTTCTAAGCGTTCTAATTTACTTAATTTTTCTCTTTCTAATCCACTTAATCGGTTAGAATAGCGAGTTGATTGCAATTCACTTTGACAGTTTTCTAACTGGATAATAAGGTGGTTTTTCTCTTGAATTAAGGATCTTTTTTGCTTTTCTGCTTTGGTAATTTCTTCGGCTCCGTATTGAACTTGTTCCTGGATTTCTTTTTTTAGTTCGTCAATTTCTTTTTCTTGTTTCAAGTAAACTTCTAGTCCTTTTTCGTGTTTCTTTTCGCTTTCGATTAAATCGGTAGTTAATTTTTGTAATTTTTGGCTGAGATGATTACGGAGAGTTGAAAGACTTCATTTTTCATCGGTGTTGATTCCTTCGCTTTGAACTCACTGCCGAACTTCTTTTCACTGTTCTAATCTTTTTTCTATCTCTTCATTTTTCTGATTGGTTTCTAATTCTTGAATTTTGGTTCGCAAATTTTCCACATTCTCTACTTTTTGTTCTGTCAAGAGTGCATCCAGTTTGGTTAATTTTTCTTCATCTAAACCCCAATTACGATGTTGGAGTTTGGTTTTTAAATCATTATTGTCCAGTCTTAAAGCCTCAACGGTATTTTTTAACTCAATATTTTTAGCATTGGCCTCTTCATATTTTTTTCAAATCTCGCTTTTAGTTCCTTCGGGCTTTGATGATGGTAGCATATTAAGGAAATTTTATTTTCTAATTCGTTTTCTTCTCATTGACTAAATACTTGGTTGATTCGTTCTGATGTTTTTATACTTCCACCTTAGTTCCTTTCATATTGGGGATTTTTAAAAAAAACAGCGTTTGCTTTTCCTAGAAAATTAATTTGAAGAGAAAATGTTAAAAACTGTTGCTACTTTCAAAGATAAAGACACTCGCGATCTCTTCTTTGGAAAACGAGTTAAGAAGTGAGAAAAAAATGCTGGAACTTTTTTCATTAGTTTTTCCGTTTCCCGCAAATTTGGGTTTACCAGTTTTTTCATCGAAGTCAAAAAATGCTTTTTCTGTAGTTCCTTCAATATCGACTACTACTTGTTTATATCCTTCCGCTCGCCGGAAATGAAGATTATTCTCCCCAATTCTTTCCTTGGTTGGGTTGCTACTAGACATAAGTTTCACTTCATTTTTATTTTGTCTTGGGTTTTTCAGTTATCTCCCGGATTATCTTATTAGTTTCTCAAATTCTTCAAACTCCGTATAAAATGGGAACTAAATAGCAAAGGTTGGAGAGTAGTTTGTCGCCTCATTTTCGGCCTAACAAAGAAATTATCAGAGTGGGAATGGCGAGTAAGCCAAACTTTTTCAGAGTTTCCTTGAAGGTTTCGTTAGCTTCTTGGGTTTTTCCTAATACTCCTTTTTTAATTTTTTCGTCTATGGCGGCGTTTTCCACTTTGACACTTAGTCGGGAAAGCGGAGTTTTGAGCGAAGAGGTTATAGCACTGTCAATAATAAACAGAAATCCGAGTAAGAG